GTGTGTGTGTGTGTGTGTATGTGTGTGTGTGTGTTTGAGGGGGGGAGGGAGGGAGAGAGGGAGGAAAGAGGAGAAGGGAGAAGAAAAAGAAAAAAGAAAGAAGGAAACTTATTTAGCAAAGAAGAAAAACAAATGATGTCGCTTTAAATCAGAACTGAGCATGCCTGGCTGTGGAATTCTGGGAGTTGAAGTCCACAAGTCTAAAAAAATTGCTGCCTCACCAGCCATAAACCTTACTGCATGTCACTGCCTTTTCCACTACCATTGATTCACCAATTATGGCTATTTCTGGATTGGGAATTGTCCAGGCAGAGCAATCTATGTGCTGGTAACTTCAAGGCTGAAATTATTATAAGTTAGTCTTATTAGGTCTATTCTTAAATCTGTGCCTGCTGCAAAATGCTGGTTACTAAATGTTAAGACCAACAGTGGTTGTTTCTATATCAAGCCAGAATCTACCATAATTTTTCAATAATGTTTAGAAGCTGGATTTCTAATAGGGCATCTTCTGTCTTATGTGATGTCTTTGTAGTGTTGCTACTACAACCTGAGACAACGTATTCTTGGCATATGTATTACAACAATGGAATTCCTCATCCAACCCCCATTTCCCCAAGTTCATTGTGTAGCTCTGTACATTTTCAATACGAACTGAAGACCTATCTACTGTACATGTTCAGGTCTTTGGCTAATACTATGTTGTTGTGGTTCCTATATGTCATATTTTTTTCTGGTTGTTGAACTCTATGATGATTTTTTTTAAAAAAACCTGATTCCAAATATAGGAATTTTGGAAGGTTTCCTTCTATAAAAAAAGTTTTATTATAAATTGCTCCTTCACTATAAACGAGATGAACTTGTGTATATTCTATTTACAAATCATATTTTCCTTCCTAGCATTTTTGTGTAAGGTCTGCTATTTTCTGGCTCAAACAATCAGTAACAACAGGAACTTAATAACTAGCTTGGTTGCTGAGCCTGGCATTATAGGTTGAGGGAAGTGGCTGGCCCAAACTCTCCCAAGTTGGCTTTCATGCCTAAGGCTGGATTAGAACTCTGGGTTTCCTGGTTTCCAGCCTGATATCTTAACCACTAGATGAAACTCGTTCTTCCATTTATAATCCATTATATTACAAATATTTATAGATGGATGTGGGAGAGAGAGACAGACAAACAGACAGACTAATCTCTCCTTGGCCTATTTATTTCTTTGTTTTGTTTATGTCTGTATAGTGACAGTACTCAAATAACCTTGGCAGAGAATTATGCAATCTAAGAAACTGTCAGCAGACAATGTATCAGGAATGTGCATAGATGCCTGTCATAAACTTTGTTAATTTGATGAACTAATCAAGTTAACTGTTTATAGCAATTACATCAAGATCAAATATGAACAGAAAGGGCCAGGAAGGAAGGTTAAAGAACACCGTTTGGTCTTTCTTTCTTTCTTTCTTTCTTTCTTTCTTTCTTTCTTTCTTTCTTTCTTTCTNATCTCATCTCTTATCTATGAATAAATGCATAAAGTCCCATCATTTCATTCCTGATGTCAGCAAAAGCCCATTAAGGGTTACAAGAAATAACAAGATCTATTTTAACTTTGATCAAATAAATCAATTTTCTGTTCCTTCCTTTTACTTTGAACAGCCATGATCTTTAATCTCTTTAAACAATGCTCTAGAATTTATTTGTATATTCTTTTTTATTATTAACACATCAGTCAGGTTTTTTAATGAAAAGTCTTTTCCTTTGTCCACTTTTAAATCAGTCTCAGTATTTATCCATAGAATTGAAGCTATGCTATGGTGTACTGATTAAAACAAAACTTATTCAGGAGCTATAAGAGATATGAAGAATATAGACTATGTAGGGCTATGTCAATATATTACAATTTGAACAAATATAATATTGCCTACATTCTATTCAGCTAGTCTGTGATATATGTGTGTATCCTATATTATACTCCTCAGCCTTCCAGAATAAATAGTGTGTCATTGCTTGTGTCAAGCATGCTATTTTTCTTTGTTTTTGCTACACCGAAAGAATTCTTGAGATAATACAGAATTGTATTATTTTTTCAAAGATCATTTGGTCATATCACTGGTAATTTGGGTTTTGTTGTTTGTTCACTGCAGCTCCAGAAGTGTTAGAACAAAAGCCATACAGTAAAGCTGTGGATTGCTGGTCAATTGGAGTTATTACCTACATCCTGTAAGATAATCTGTTAATTACAACAAACTTGCTAATGTCCTTCAAAAACCTTATGTAGTCCCAAGAAAATATATATTAACAATATGCTAAACCCAGATAAAAAGTAGAAAAGAAGCATTAACCCATAGTGGCCTATTCAGAGTAAAAAGAAAACAATAATTACTCTTCACTGCATTTTAGTGTCTTCTACTTGGTTGCATGTTTTTGTAACAGGTTTTATAAAGTTTATGATATCTTGGGGTGTAAGAAACACCTTTTTCCAGGGACTTGCAGTCAAGGGAGGCAGGAGTCTCACCACTGTCATCATGAAAAGAAAAAAAATGTAAAAGGAAAAAGGCAAGAGCTGAGG